AACAAATATTTTTAAAACTTTAAAAATTAAAAATATGTTTTAAATAAAAGCACATTAGACTGGAAGAACAGAGGCCTGGGTCAGAGATTGTACAAACACAGCCCCATAGGTCTGGTTTTCCCTACATATGTGTTTTGTTTGACTCGTACTGTTTTTGCTTTTGTTTTTGTTCCTTGAATTTTTTAATTAAAATATTTTACATATAATTCTGAATTTCCAACTTTTATTTAAAAAGCTTATGAGGCTGGGTGTAATCCTAGCACTTTGGGAGGCCGAGGAGGGTGGATTGCTTGAGCTCAGGAGTTTGAGATCAGCCTGGGCAACGTGGCAAAACCCTGTCTCTACAAAAATAAAAAAAAAAAAAGCCAGGTGTGGTGGCATGCATGCCTTAATCCCAGCTATTTGGGGGGCTGAAGTGGAAGGATCACTTGATCTTGGGAGGCAGAGGTTGTAGTGAGCCAAGGTCAAACCATTGTACTCTAGCCTGAGTGAGACCCCATCTCAAAAAATTAAAAAATTTAAAAATAAAAGGCAGATGATCTGAGTATATTGAGCCCCCATTTTCACATATAAATAATTAGTTTCAACTGTGTGGCAATGAACCTTTCCCCTATGCTATTTACCGCATTTCCCATGACCTACTTTTATGTTATATTTTGTAACACTACGTTATGTCTCTTACTTGCCTTTTGACAGTTGACTCTGTGACCACTGGCCTCAAACAAGTCATTCAATCTCTTTTGGACTCAATGTCTCCATATGACATTGGAGGAATGGGTGCTTAGGGCAGTTGACATCTTCACCTCTGAATTCTTCAGACTCTACTATTTATTCTAAAATTCAGAATACTCTCTTGTTAGAAGTAGACTGCCTGCTGTAACTTCTACTGTCAGTGAAATCTCTTTGTGACTATCATTAAAGTAAATTTTAAAATAGCTTTTTAATGCTTTTAGTCACAAAAAAGAATTCACTAAAAAATGCACTAAAAAGAAATATACTTCAATCTGAAAGCCCTCAGGATGGCTTACCTGGTGTCAGAATTGATTTGGAAAATTTTGACTGAATGAACACCCGCCCTGGCAAGAACACCAAATTGAACAAGTATGCATACAAGAAAGCACCTTCATAAGAACTAAAAATCACAGAACACCAAACTGAACAAGTATGCATACAAGAAAGCACCTTCATAAGAACTAAAAATCACAGTACCTGGTTTTAACATTATATCAGATGAGAAAAGGAAAGACAGTATTGAAATCAAAATGGATTAAAGACAAATATTATACCCCAAACTACAAAATTATAGAAGAAAACATTAGGGAAACTCTCCAGGACATTGGACTGGGCAATTTGTTGAGTAATACTCCAAAAGCATAGGCAACCCAAGCAAAGATGGGCAAATGGGAACACATCAAGTTAAAGAGCTTCTGCACAGCAAAGGAAACAATCAATGAAACGAAGGTAAAAATTAAAACAGTTAAATTCATGGAGATGGAGAGCAGAATGATGATTACCAGAGGCTGCTAAGAACAGTGCAGGGGAGAGAGGGACCTTGGTGTGGTTAATGGGTACAAAAGTCTAGCTAGATAGAATGAGTAAGATCTAGTATTTGATAGCACAACAGGGTGATTACAGTCAACAAAAACTTGTTTTATTTTAAAATAACTACAGGAGTATATAAATGGGATGCTTGTAACACAAAAAAAATGATAAGTGCTTGAAGTGATGGATACCCTATTTGCCCTAATGTGATTTTTTTCTTAATTTTTCTATTTTATTCCAATGGGTTTTGGGGGAGCAGGTGGTGTTTGGTCACATGGATAAGTTCTTTAGTGCTTTGGTGCACCCATCACCTGAGTAGGTGAAGAGCAACTGTACCTAATATAGAGTCTTTTATTCCTAATCCCCTCCTGCCCTTCACCCAAGTCCCCAAAGTCCATTGTATTATTCTTTGCATCCTCATAGCTTAGCCCCCACTTATGAGTGAGAACATAAGATATTTGGTTTTCCATTCCTGAGTTACTTCACTTGGAGTAATGGTCTCCAATTTCATCCAGGTTGTTGCAAATGCCATTATTTTATCCCTTTTCATGTCTGTGTAGTATTAGTATTCCCTGGGTGTGTGTGTGTGTGTGTGTGCACATGCGCATGTGTGTGTCACACTTTCTTTATCCACTCATTGATTAACAAGCATTTGAACTGGTTCCATATTTTTGCAATTGCAAATTGTGCTGCTATCAACATATGTGTGCACATATCTTTTTTGTATATTCACTTCTTTTCCTCCGGGTAGATACTCAGGAGTGGGATTGCTGGATCAAATAGTAGATCTACTTTTGATTCTTTAAGGAATCTTCACAGTGAAAAGGAAACTACTAGTGATGGTACTAGTTTATGCTCCCACCAGCAGTGTCAAAGTGTTCTTTTTTTACCACATCCACACCAACATCTATTATTTTTTGATTATGGACATTCTTGCAGGAGTGAGGTAGTACCACATTGTGGTTTTGATTTGCATTTCTTTGATAATTAGTTATGTTGAGTATTTTTTTATATCTTTGTTGGCCATTTGCATGTTTTCTTTTGAGAACTTTCTATTTGTGTCTTTAGTATACTTTTTGATGAGATTGGGTTTGTTTTTTGTGAGTTTTTTTTTTTTTTTTTTTTTTTTTTTTTTTTTGCTGATTTGAGTTCCTTGTAGATTCTGGATGTAGATTCTTTGTCGGATGCATAGTTTGTGAAGATTTTCTCCCATTCTGTCGGTTGCCTATTTTCTTTGCTATTTCCTCTGCTGTGCAGAAGCTTTTTAGTTTAATTATGTTCCATCTATCTTGGTTTTTGTTGCATTTGCTTTTGGGTTCTTAGTCATAAAGTCTTTGCCTAAGCCAGTGTCTAGAAGGGTTTTTCTGATGTTATCTTCTACAAGTTTTATGGTTTCAGGTCTTAGATTTAAGTCTTTGATCCATCTTGAGTTGATTTTTCTATAAAGTAGTAGATGAGAATCCAGATTCATTCTTCTGCATATGGCTTGCCAATCATCCCAGCACCATTTGTTAAATATGGTGGCTTTGTAAGTATGTGGCTTCATTTCTAGGTTTTCTATTCTGTTTCATTGACCTATGTACCTATTTTTATACCAGTACCATGCTGTTTTGGTGACTCTAGCCTTATAGTATAAATTTAGGTAATGCAATGTCTTCAGATTTGTTCTTTTTGCTTAGTCATGCTTTGGCAATGCACGTTCTTTTTTGGTTCCATATAAATTTTAGAATTATTTTTCTAGTTCTGTGAAAAACGATGGTGGTATTTTGATGGGAACTGCGTTAATTTGTTGATTGCTTTTGGGAGTATGTTCATTTTCACAATGTTGATTCTACCCATTCATGAGCATAGGATGTGTTTCCATTTGCTTGTGCCATCTATGATTTCTTTCAGCAGTGTTTTGTAGTTTTCCTTGTAGACATCTTTCACCTCCTTGGTTAGGTGAAAGATGTCTACAAGGAAAACTACAAAACACTGCTGAAAGAAATATTCCTAAGTATTTTTATTTTTTTGCAGCTATTGTAAAATGGGTTGAATTCTTGATTTGATTCTCAGCTTGGTCACTGTTGGTATATAGCAAGTCTACTGATTTGTGTACATTAATTTTATATTCTGAAACTTTACTGAATTTATCAGTTCTTGCCCTTATGTGATTATTATGCATTGTATGACTGTATCAAATATCTCATGTACCCCATAAATATATACACCTACTATGTATCCACAAAAATTAAAAATATTTTTTTAAAAAAACGCCACAGTTTAACAAGACCCCCTGGTGATTTATGTGTAGATCATAATTGGAGAAGCTAAGGTTTGAGTATATCCCCCAAAACTTGTGTGCTGGAAGCTTAATCCTCATTGCAACATTGTTGGGAGGTAAGGCCTAATGACTAGTGGTGATTAGACCATGAGAGCTTTACTTTTATGAATGGATTAATGTCATTATCACTATAGTGAGTAAGTTATCACAAGAATGGTTTCCTTACAAAAGGATAATTTTGGCCCCTTTTTCCTCTCATGTACCCTCTCTTCGTGCTTCTGTCATGGACGATGCAGCAATAAGTCCCTTGCCAGAAGATCCTGGACTTCCTAGCCACCAGAACCCTAAGCTAATACACTTCCGTCTATAAATTATCTGGTGTACAGTAGTATGTTGTAGCAACATAAAACAGAGAAGTATCGGTTTTGGGCACAACGGAAGAGTAATGCGTAAGCCTGAGCTCTAATAATCCTGATTCTGCCACTGACTAGCCATACTAAATTTTACCTTAGTTTCCTCATCTTAAAAGTGAGATTAAATAATAACCTCCAGGGATGTTCTGTGATTGTATTTACTTATTGCATCTGAAGGCCAGAGTAATCCCTCAATAAATATTTGTCAAATCTAGCTACAAAAAAAGTTGGAACCATTTAGTAACCCCTTTAACTTCCACTTTGAAGTTAAAACTGAAATGTATTTTCACAAATCATTTTTTTTACCATGAGCTGAATCTGTTCATTTTTATTAAAATGTAGAATTAGTTTCTTTGATGTTTCTTCTTAAATTCTCAAATAGAGATTTAAAAAGAAATTATTTCTTCCCCTTCCCTCTCTCTTACTTCAATTTATCTTTCCTCTAAACACGAAAGAAGGGAAGAACCTTAAAAAGAAACAAATCAAATGAGCACGATAGTAATTTTTCAGAACTTCGAAATATATATCAGTAAATTAAACTCTTTAAAAGCAGCACATGTAGCCCTGAAGAGGTCCTGCTATTAAATGGTTAAATAACAAGACAGGAGCACAAAGCAAACTTGTCCGTAGCATGTATGCAATAAAGTCTTGATCTGTTCAAAGGGAGATGGCAGCAATATAGCCAAAGAGCAGAAGAAGCTTGCCAAACTAAATAAAGAAAATCAAGACAGAGAGCAGAAATAAATGTTAACAAAGATACCACAAAGGTATCTTGGAGTTATGGGTCAGGTGGAATAATCCTTATCTGCTTCTTCGTTTGAAGGGCAGGTTAGAACAGGGTAATTGGAGATCACATGATACATGACTAAAGGTTCTGTGTAATCAGGATTTACAATATCCTGATTATTCCTATCTTACTCTTCCTGAAAAAAGAGATGTATTAGAGGTATATGGCTAAAATATTGCATGTGGGTGATCAATAGCCCCAAGGAGCACCTGATGTCAGACCCTTTGGTTAACTTGGGACCTCAGATTTTGAAATATGGACGAAAGCTACAAACTCTAAAACAGTCAATTATACCCATAATATAAAAGAAACTGTTCTTCCAATTTTGGTTAACAATGGGTTTTTTCTATATAAATTATGATCTTATCAACTGAATTCATATTTTAAAAATTCATTTTATAAAATATAGTTTAACTCAAATGACTCTCCATTTACAACCTGCTTGTGGATCTTCAATCCTTCTTGCCAATGCCACTGGATTATCAGTCCTCACCCACCAAATGGCAAAGCTTCTATCCTTTCCGATGTCTCTTAGATATTCCGAAATGGATGGGGGCTATCTCACATAGAATTTCCACAGCTTCCTGTATCTCTGTTATCCTTATGCTCTGGCACTTTACTCTTGGCTCATTCTGCTTGGCACAGAACCCACATGGTGTTAGTGGCCTCTGACATCCTTTGGAGCATCTACCTTCTCAAATTCTGGTGCTTGGGATGACATCCGACATGCCTCCAAGTTCCTGTCATAAGAACCACCTGAACCTTGATTCTGGTAACCCACACATTGGTGTTAACCCAACCTTGACCTCCAGTCCTCACCTCTCTCTGACTGGTAGATAAATGATTTCCACATTTTCATCCCTTCCATGAGAAGGAAGAAGGAAACTGACAGCAGAAATGTTTGGGCTCATAGTAATAAACTGCTTTTAACTTCATCACATTAACTATCTCTTTTCTGGAGTCACAAGTGACCACAGAAGTCTGAGCTGTGTACATTTAAGAGCAGCCTCACATTTGTACCCTGCATCAATGCTCTCTTCCCATTGTGACAGACTCTCAATTGTTGTGGTAATTCTTTTCTCTTGGGAGCCCTTTTGTCTCTTATTTTACTCTAGTTTCCTTTGAAGATTCTAATGAAGCCATTTTTTATCCTCCACAAATGTGAGTAAGAGTCTGACCCTGATGTCACATAAAGCCAGAGGCGGAGTTAGAAGTACGAGATAGACTGACCGGTGTTTGATGCCTTGACATGCTCAGTCCTGACTTCACTAGTCCCAAATTTTAAAACTAATTAATAGCACATTTTGAATTATGAGAGACGTAACTTTATCTTAAATGGTCCTAGTCAACATTTTACATGCAAATATTATCTCAAATATTGACAGCACTTGTTTCATGTCTCAGATCAATTTCAATGTTACTTGCTAAAAATGTGAAGGTAGGATATGAGCCCAATAATCAGACTACGAGCTCACACCTACCATTAATTCTATTTGCAAATTAACATACTAAATAAAAATGCACTCATAGTCTTTAACTTTCAACAATATACATTTTTAAAATAAAGGAATCTTGGTGAAGATAAGGACAACTACTTCAATTTATTTTATTTTTTAATAATTTTAACTTTTATTTTAGAAATGGGGGGTACATGTGCAAGTTTGTAACCTCGTCATATTGCATGACTCTGAGGTTTGGGGTACAACTGATCCCAACACCCAAGTACTGAGAACAGTACCCAATAGGTAGATCTTCAACCCATCTCCCTTGACCTTCAAGCAGTCCGGAGTGTCTGTCGGTCCCATCTTTATGCCCATGAGTAACCAGTTTTTAGCTCTAACTTAAGAGTGAGAACATGCCATATTTGGTTTTCTATTTTTGGGTTAATTTCCTTAGGATATTGGCCTTCAGATGCATTCATGTGGCTGCAAAAGATGAGATTTCATTCTTTTTTACAGCTACATACTATTCCACAGGGTGTATGGGCCACATTTGCTTTATCTCTTCGACTGGTGATGGACACCCAGGTTGATTCCATGTCTTTGCTACTGTGAATGGTGCTGCAATGAACATACGCATGCATATGCCTCTCTAGCAGAATGATGTATTTTCTTTTGGGTGTATACCCAGGAAAGGGATTGCTGGGTTGAATGGTAGTTCAGTTTTGAGTTCTCTAAGAAATCTTCAAACTGCTTTCCACAGTGGTTGAACTAATTTACCACTAACAGTGTATAAGTATTTCCCTTCCTCTGTAGCCTTACCAGCATCTGTTTTTCTTTGACTATTTAATGATAGCCATTCTGACCTGTGTGACATGGTATCTCACTGTGGTTTTGATTTTCGTTTTCTAATGGTTGGTGATGTTAAACATTTTTTCATATGCTTATTGGAATTGTGTGTCTTCTTTTGAGACCTGTGTTCATGTCCTTTGCCCATTTTTTTAATAGGGCTGTTTTTTGATTGTTGATTTGTTTAAGTTCCTATAGATTCTAAATATTAGGCCTTTATAAGAGGCATAGTTTGCAATTTTTCTTCCATTCAGTAGGTTGTCTGTTTACTCTGTCAATATTTTATTTACTGTGCAGAACTGTTTACTTTCATTAGGTTCTGCTTGTAAATTTTTGGTTTTATTGCAATTGCTTTTGAGGGCTTAGCCAAAAATTATCTGCCAAGACTGATATAGAGAAGGGCATTTCCTAGGTTTTCTTCAAGGCTTTTTCTGGTTTTAGGTCTTCTATTTAAATATTTAACCCATCTTGAGTTAACTGTTTTTTCTTTTTTAATTCTAACCTGGCCTGGTACAAAATGAGTCAATTTTTTTATATAGTAGAAAGTAGCAGTCTAGTTTCATTTTTCTGTATATGGCTAACCAATTATCCCAGCAACACTTATTGAATAGGAAGTCCTATCCCCATTGTTTATTTTTGTTGGCTTTGTGCAGATGGTTGTAGGTGTTAAGCTCTATTTCTGTTTTTTTGTTTGTTTGTTTGTTTGTTTGTTAATTCTGTTCCTTTGGTCTAGGTGTCTTTTTTTTTTTTTTGTACCACTACTATAATGTTTTGCTTACTGTAGCCTTACAGTATAGGTTGAAGTCAGGTAGTGTGATGCCTCCAGCTTTGTTAACATCCTAGACCAGATGGAGTTACAGACAAATTCTACCAGATATATAAAGAACTGTTATCAGTTCTGCTGAAACTATTCCAAAAAAATTGAAGAGGAGGGGCTCCTCTCTAACTCATTCTATAAAGCTAGCATCAGCCTGATACCAACATCTGGCAGAGACACAACGAAATAAGAAAACCTCAGACTAATATTCCTAATGAACACAGATGCAAAATTCCCCAACAAAATACTAGCAAATCAAATCCAGTAGCACATCAAAAGTTTAATACACCCTGATCAAATAGGCATTATTCCTGGGATGTACAGCTGTTTCAACATATGCAATCAATAAATGTAATTTACCACATTAAGAGAATTAAAAGAAAAAGCTGTATGATTATCCCAACAGAAGCAGAAAAAGTATACAATAAAATCCAAAATCCCTTGATGATAATAACCCACAACAGACTAGGCATCAAAGGAACATACCTCAAAATAACAGGAGCCATCTATGACAAACCCATAGCTAACATCACACGGAACAGGCAAAAGCTGGAACCATTCCCCTTGATAAGTGGAACAAGACAAAGATGACCTCTCTGACCACTCCTGTTCAATATAGTACTGGAAGTTCTAGGCAGTGCAATCAGGCAAGAGAAAGAAAGAAAATGAATCCAAATAGGAAAGGAAGAAGTCAAACCATCTCTTTTCACTGATGATATAATTCTATACCTAGAAAGCCCTAAATACTCCACCAAAAGGCTCCTAGAACTGATAAATACCTTTAGTAAAATTTCAGGATACAAAATAATGTATAAAAATCAGTCTCATTTCTATACATCAATAATATTCAAGCTGAAAGTCAAATCAAGAACACAATCCCATATACAGTAGCCACACGCAAAAACTGAAATACCTAAGAATATATTTAACCAAGGAAGTGAAAGATATCTACAAGAAGAACTACAAAACACTGCTGAAAGAAATCAGAGACAACACAAATAAACGAAAAAACATTCCATGCTCATGAACTGGAAGAATCAATATCATTAAAATGGCCATACTCTCCCCCAAATTTTTGGATTCAACACTATTTCTATCAAACTGCCAAAGTCATTTTCCAAAGAAACAGAAAAAAACTATTCTAAAATTCCTATGGTACATCTTAAAGATAAAGAAATGAAGACCCATAGAGTTGAAATGATTTCAAAAGTCACTAGTCTTGAGCTCAAAGTGAAACCTCCTTATTCTCAATTTGGTTATGTTACTTTTACATCCATTACTATATAAAAATAGCCTCTGATGTTGAAGTATTTTGCCACAATGATCCATTCATTTAGCCAGTAGATATTATTAAAGTATCTTCTATGCATCAGATGATGTGAAAGAAAAGTGATCTACCAGAAGTGAAAATATCAGTTCAAGCTTCGGGTCTTCCAAACCTGATGTGTGTAGAAATTATGCAAATGAATGGCATACTTAAATCATTGTAGAATGAGCCATATCCTACAATGACAGATTGCAATTAAGTCATTCATAAGATATCTTTCAGTTCTCAGCTTCTGTAATTCAACTAAACAGCTATACATGTGTTCTAAAAAAGAAAAAACTCATGAACGAACATTTACAGTTTCACCTGAGACCAAATGAAAGATGTTCACCTGACAGATTTAAGTCACTTGATAACATCTGATAATTAATCTTTTTGTAAATGAAGAGACTACGACAGATTACTACTTGTCATTTTGTTCAAACAAATCAAATGTCTAGTAACTTAAAATAATAGGTATAGTGCATGCCTTATGTATTCAACTGTATATTTTAAAATCTAGAAAGATAAAATGATTTAATCAATGCTTCCTTTTAAGAAAAAAAGATGTTTGATAGACCTAAACATTTAGAATTAGGCTCCCAATTTCATTTTATGTAGAATCTCTAACAGAAATCATAAATTAAATTTGACACTCCATTGAATTAGATCAGCTCCAATAGACAATCTCCAAGGTCAACCTAGGTTTTAGATGTCATA